TTTCACCTTTCAAATAACAAACAAAGTAGACTCCCTAGAGGGATAGGAGTCTAACAAGCAACAAAGAAAAGAGCTACAAGAAAAGCCCTCAGAAGGGTTGGGGCTCCAGAAATGAATATCCTTTCTCCTCAGTCGAAGCTCAAACTCCTCAATTAAAGAAAGAAGAGTGAGACCTCCATCATTTCTCTATCGAACAACAGATGACAAAACTCGAAAGAAAGAGAGGAAGAGATCCCTGAGTAATTTAGGACATTGGCTACACAATGGTTTTTCATGAAGAATAAGTGATAAAGAGTAGGAAACGTACTATAGAGGGGTCGAGCCTTCACCCACTCGTCCTCCCAAAAGTATGCATCATTCGATCTCCCACAACCAAATGAACCAGATCAGAAGAAGAAGGGAGATTGTTAGAGATTTCACCAGACATCCATTCAAAGGGATGAGAATCGTACTTGCATAAGATAATCCCATACCAAAAGGTAGTAGACTCCAGGGGGAATTCCATAACCATTTTGCCAACAACACTTTGTTATGATCCCTTAAATTCCCCAACTCCAACCCTCTCGAGTGCACAGACTTCCCCAAAGCCTACCAACTAACCATCACATCTTTAGATTCTTCCACAGCTTTTCACAGGAAGTCCCTCCTAAGCTTTTCTAAACCCTTACACACCGCACATGAAGCTCTGAAAAGGGTAAATAAATAATTGGGAATACCAATTAAAGCGATCGAATGAAGTTATTCTACCTCATTTTGAGGAAAAAAATTCTTCCAAGAAGTCAATCTCTTTCTCACCTTATCCTCCACAGGATTTCAGAAGGAGGTATGCCTTGGATTATTCTTGAGAGGAAGACCCAAATACGAGGTAGGAAAAGTGCCAATCTCCCAACCAACCAGTTTCACCCTCCAACTCACCTTACTAGGATCATTATTCAACCCCAGAATTTGATATTTACCTCTTTTGATCTTAAGATCTGACATGACTTCAAAGAAATCAAGGATTTGATTCAGAATTAATGACTCTTTCTTACTAGAGTAGAAGGAGATGCTCCACTAATCCTTTTGGCATCATGCACAAAACATCCACCGCAAGCAAGAATAAGAAGGGAAATAATGACTCACCCTATCTCTTGCCTCTCGAAGCTATGAGCTTACCCTTGGGTCTTCCATTGATGAGAAAAGAGTATTTAACTGTTCCAACACAACTCCATATCCAAGATCACTTGTAACCGAAGCCCTTCACTTGTAACCGAAACCCACATGGCCACAAGCCTTCTGAAAATCAATCTTAAAAATAACCCCCTCCTGTTTCTGCCCTCTTAATCGTCGATAGATTCATTGGCTATGAGAACATAATCAAGGATTTTCATCCCCACAATGAAATCCCCCTGAGCCTCTGAAATCGAGCACTTTTCATCCTATTGGTTAATACCTTTGCTAAAATCTTGTAAAATCAATAAAAAGTTTTATGTTTCTATAAAAGTTCAACATTATCATGAACGCAGAGATAGTTTGCACATGACATTTCCAAGAAAGAAGTCAAAACACGTTAAAGTTGCCTCTTCTATCAAAACAGCAAACTGCACAACGAATTAACTGTGATATTATTTTTTAAGAAACAGTTAAAAAGATACTGTTAATGATGTAGCAACAAACATATCATAACTGGCCTCTTTTTAGAGTATAAGAAATATAATTAAGGTTTATGTGCCTTAGCATTATATCTTAATATATTACATATATATTTGGGAACCAAGAGGCCACATACCAAATATGCTGCTGACCACAAATGTCAGACAGGGCGGTATATTTTAATATAGCCATGATAAACATTGTTTCTCATGCAATTTAATCATGTTAAAAAATAAACATTATAATATAAAAGAAATTACTTACACCATCCATTGCCAGATAGGATGTATCAACGCCGGAATGAAGACCCATCATATACGGTGTGGGAGCATCAATATAGTCTACTCCACTGAAAAAGAGTAACGGAATGTAGACATGCTTCAGGACAACATAGAAAGCTTCGGTTAGAGTCTATAAGAAAGAAGCAGAAAAATATGCACAAAACCCGACTCACTACTATCACGCCAAAAATTACAAATTATGGCTTTCAACTATCACATTTAAAAAAAAAATGAACAGGAATTACAAATATTTTCAATCAAAAATTCAAGAGAAGAATTCTTTAATATTTAATAACTCAAAAAATGATTTTAAAGTAAGGTAACTGACCTGCCATCTAAATGGATATATTAAATGACAAATGGCTTCTGATACAAGAGTTAAAAGTGAATACCTGCACAAAGAAGAAAAAGAAAACATGCGCCATCACATACTAAAAAATGACAATTATCAAACTTGGAACTTACAGATGGTACGAGAGAATGTATGACAAATTCCAATTTGTTCCACAAGAAACTGACCAGTATAGGGACTAGGGAAAACAAAGCCAACCAAACAAAAAACATTTGTTCTTTAAGATTACAAGAAACCCTGAATTCTGAAGTATTTGGTTAATCATGCATTGAATCTCTTACATTCAAAACAATCAAATGAGAATTCCTGTGAACATAAATTAAAAAGAAATTGAAAAAAAAAATCCAATTTATTCATCAAACAAATGAATAAGCCAACCAAACAAAAAACATTTGTTCTTTAAGATTACAAGAAACCCTGAATTCTTAAGTATTTGGTAAATCATGCATTGAATCTCTTACATTCAAAACAATCAAACGAGAATTCCTGTAAACATAAATTAAAAAGAAATTGAAAAAAATCCAATTTATTCATCAAACAAATGAATAAGATAAATAAGTTATGACAAATATCACTTCAAGAAATCTATAGTAACAAAGAGATACTTGTTTGATCGAAGAAGAATCCTCCTCTCCAGCAAGACGGCAGTGAAAAGTTTGATTAAATTTTCCAAATCCAAGCACTGCATAAGCGGCTGAAACGAAATCTGCAGTCCTCGTGAAGAGAAATGATCGTTAGATGAGAAGATAAATCATTTCACTTTCTGAAGAACACTGTCTGCGAGGCACATCAGCGCTTAGCCTGTTTTCAAAAAGTATTACAGAAGGAAAAAAAGAAAAAATTACATCGGCATGGGGAAGCCCATCCTTTGGTGGAGCCTGAACGGAAAGAAGACAATTCTCAATGCCAAACAAAATCCGTTCCTTCCCAGGAGTCGGCAGAGGTACATTGGAGATCATGAATGCTATGATGTCCCACAGAGGCTTGCTGAAATGTTGGGTAGCTGAGAATATTAGTAGCCAAGGGAAACAATTCCACTGAAATTCAAGTTCTTAAGCCGATTGATTTTAGTAATCATGACTCTATTGGTTAATGTCAGTTAAATAAATTTTTATGATACCCTTGGAAGGTTGGGTTGATTTCTCATCGCCCTTCTTCTATATTTCATTTCTCTTCCTTCTGGATGCAAATTTGCTAAATAAATGCACTCATGTCTATAAAATCAGCTTTATAGCTCATGATGTGGTACCAGAATCTGATGCCACATGCATAAGTATGACGAAATGGAGAGAGTATCTAGTTATGTACTGACCTACTTCCACTGCTGGAGAAGCACAAAGCAAATAATTCCTCCAGCGCATCTTTAAGGACATGGAAGCTGGGTGAACGAGAAACAATACAGATACATTTATCAGCATAAGAATTTGGTGGAAGGCGGTAGGCTTCGGCAATATCCTCACTAACAGGGTCTCTAAAAGCAATGCAACTGACATAAATTTTTGACCCATCGCCCTCTGCATTATAATTTCAACAATTGCAGTGAGTATACACAGATGCGGTACTTAATAATTACATTCCATTTAAATATAACATACATCCACAAAGCCAAGCCCAATCATCTTCGAATTACAAATGCTGAAAGAAATCCAAAGCTAAGCAGCAACCATACCAGTCAAAACAATCGGATAACTCCGCGGAAAAGTGGAGGCGTCACTGGAATCAAAGCCCGATGAAAAAAACTCTACCCCAGCTGGTAGAACACACTGCAAAATGCGATCCAGATGCAGTCTCCGGTTAATCAAGCGATAGAAAAATCCGACACCTCNCCTCTAAACTCTAAAAAAAAAAAAAAAAAAAAAAAAAAGAAGGAAAAATATGCTTGAAAGTGAATAAAGTTTTCTGTATTGGAACTCACCGTTGCGAGCTGAGGTGGTGGAGGAGGATAAAGAGAATGATTGGAAGGAGGATACTGGTCAAGAAGAGACGCTAGATACAAGTGACTGAATCCATGAAATCCCTTGTTCCCGTCTAGAGTCCGAATCTCCGGCCCGATCCCACAAACCACAAAATACTCAAAGATCCGAGCCATTCAACACCGATGGCCGATTGTAGTCTCTCCGTGATTGACCCTAGAGAGAGAATTGGCAACCTCCAGCTGCTCTTCTAGGTCGGTTCCAACTTAAAATGTGAAATTGATGGAAGAACAGATCGGAAGAATCATAAGGAGTAGCAATGAGGAGGAAGAATTACTCTGTACTCCGTCCTGGAATGGCGCGCGATTAGATTCCCCTAACCGGAAAGATCAATGAAATGCATATATGTGGACGGTTGCCGGTTACCCCCTTTCAGATTAAAATTATTATTATTATTATTTCTCTCTTTTCCTTTCGAAATTGAAAATTGTTTTTTTTTTTTTTTTTTCCTCATCGCGTACATTTAATTATAATTACACGCGGGATTTGGATCTAAAATTTGTCGTTTTTGGTAGTTTTTTTCGTTATAAATGTTCTTTAAATTACGAAATCATTTAGTTCAATTACCAAATAATTTTTTAAATGATGTAAATAAAAAAAAAATCTTAATTTTCAACAAAATCATCGGTAGTTATGAAAACGTCAAAAATTGTATTTTGAAGTTATTATTTTTTAATTTTAACACAAAAAATGATTTTAATAAATCATTAAAGAATCCACAAAAAAGTGGATAAAGAAATTTGGTTTTCACTGGTGCGTGCATTCCCCGCGTTGATCATCTGAAGACCCCGGTAACGATGGCCCACGCTGATCCTGATCCTGACTCTGGCCTTGTTCAACATGTAAGCTTCCGAGATCCTTCCCATCGTGGACTTTTCGCTAACCCCAATCCCAATCCATTGATTTATGTTCACAATTTGACTTTGAGGGCTTCAAAGATGAAGACTTAATCCAAGTAACAAGCGGATTCCACTGTCGCTTCTTTCATTTGGAACTCCTGTAGCTCCTCGGTGGTCGAAGATGGAGTCCGATAAGATTAAAGGGGTCGTCATAATCACTCTTCCGCCACCGGACAATCCGTCGTTGGGTAAATCCATCACTGCTTTTACACTCACCGACGACTTCTCGGAACCTCCCCGCGAATCCGTTGTAGTTGGTCAAGAAGAACAGGAACCCAACCGCAACCATTTGACTCTCCCACTGGATCTTCCGATTCAGACCCCTTCTAATCAGCGAAGTATTCCTTTGTCGAGGGAGCTTTTTGCTGGTACTCCTAGAAAGCTCGTCGTCTTATTAAGCATTGCCCTCGTTGCTATTTATCTTTATTCTTCCAGTTTTCCTGAGACCCTTCAGGAACTTCGTAGTTCCGAGAAGAATGATGATGATCGCCGTACTTCCTTGTTGTTTCCCCTTTATTTCCAATCGGAGTTGGGTGACAGCAGTGATTTCCAGCTTAAGTTGGGCAGGACTAAGGGCCTAAATAAGGATGATCTGAGTGCAGCTTTCAATGATGTACTTGGAGTTCCGAAGCCTACCAAATTGATTTCTTCCACTTTAAAATCTGATTCTTCAGCCGTTTTTCCTGTGCGTGGAGATATTTATCCAGATGGGTATGTATTTCTCTTTGCTCATGCCAGCTCCAACTTTTTCATTGACTTTAAAATGGTGATGTGGGTTGATGCCACTTTGAATGACCATAGAAATTATGTAGCACAAGTCATATTCAGAGATGGTTCTACTGGTTTTAACTATAAATTAGAATGTTTAAGCTTGTGCATTTGAGCATTCTGTGTAGACTGCATACAGGGTTTGTCATGAAGATGCCATTACTTGCACTAACATGGATTTTCAACAACCTATAGATTGTATTATACTTACATAATGGTTGGAGAGCCACCAAGACCTTACTTCCTCGACATTGATACTGGGAGCGACTTGACATGGGTTCAGTGTGACGCTCCTTGCACCAGTTGTGGCAAGGTAATGTCCTAATGTTATTGATTTTTCGTTCTTGTATGGGATTCCTTCACACTAGGGAGAGGTTTTCACCCCCTTATAAAAAATGTTTCGTTCTCCTCCCCAATTGACTTGGGTCTTACATTTTTTTGTTGAAATGAGTAATGGAATGTTGTTTGATGGTCTTCAATGGAACTATTTTAGAGTTGTAGTTTGATTGAATTCTAGAATGTTAAGGGAAGATTAAGGAAAAGGAAGGAAAAGATGAATAAATTCACAATTGGAAACTGAAAATTTTTAGTGGGTCGAATAGCACCAGCTGAACCAACTTGAACGGATAATCAAAGTTTGTTCTTATAGAATATTCAGAGAGATTGGGCAATATAATACGAACTAAGTTATAAACACGAACATTTTATTTTCTTATCAGTACGAGGCACTCATCCTTCAATATTTATTGCAACATTTTATTGAGCAACCAACCATCGTAGATTACGGGACTTTGTGGAAGATGACAAAACATTAATCTAATGATATAGTTAATGTAGGGAAGAAGTCCGTTATACAAGCCAAAAAGAGAGAACGTTGTATCTTTCAAGGACTCTTTGTGCATGGAAGTTCAAAGAAATTATAATGGCGATCAGTGTGCAACCTGCCATCAGTGTGACTACGAGATTCAATATGCTGACCAGAGCTCCTCTCTAGGGGTTCTTGTTAAAGATGAGTTTACCTTAAAGTTCTCCAATGGATCATTGACCAAGTTGAATGCCATTTTCGGGTATAATTTTTTCTCCTTGTTGTTCTTCTGTAGTATAGATTATCCAAGTTTTAGTTCTAATGTCCATTTCTAAATTTCTCTAGTTTGTTTGGTTACAAGGTGTGCATATGATCAGCAAGGCGTGCTATTGAACACGTTGTCCAAGACTGATGGCATTCTAGGACTAAGCAGGGCTAAAGTTAGTTTACCTTCCCAGTTGGCGAGTCAAGGGATCATAAACAATGTGGTAGGTCACTGTCTTACCGGTGATCCAGCAAGTGGTGGATATATGTTTCTAGGTGATGATTTTGTGCCACAGTGGGGGATGGCATGGGTTGCCATGCTTGACAGCCCTTCCATGTGAGTATGGATTACACCTGTTATGGGTGTAAATTTGTCTTACTCGACAAGATTCTTCTTCCAACTAATTTTTTTTTAAATGAAAATAAAAGTTGACCTTAAATTCAACTAGAGATCAGACCCTTCAACTCCTCTAAAAGTTCTCATATTTCTCTCTAGCCAAATGCCCCATAAAACAGCAGAAAAACAAAGATACCAAAGAACTATGCCCTTCTAATGAAAGCATGCCAATCGAGCATGACATGGTTCGCTGCCAAAGAATTCAACATTGTATTTAATTCGTTGTACTTCATTGATCTTTAACCACTTCCATTTTATAATTTCAGAGATTTTTATCAAACAAAGGTTGTGAGGATAGATTATGGAAGCAGCCCACTGAGTTTTGATACTTGGGGTAGCAACCGTGGACGAGTAGTTTTCGATAGTGGCAGCTCGTACACCTACTTCACAAAAGAAGCATATTCTCAATTGGTTGCATCTGTAAGTTTCAAGGCATAGTGGGCCAGAGTGAACTTCCTTCTCGTTTCTGCAAAAAAAAAATTGTATCTCATGATTAAGAACCTCCATTCCTCTGCAGCTTGAAGAACTCTCAGCGTTTGGACTTATTGTTCAAGATTCATCAGATATCATTTGTTGGAGAACTGAATCTTCTATCAGGTATAAGACAGATATGACGACATTCTTCAAATTACTTCATCAATATGGATTCCTTGTACTTGAAAACTTTGCTTATTTTCTTCTGTTTCTAAAACACCTTGATGAACAATTAGATAGGAGGAGAAATGAAGGAAAAATTGGAAGTTTCTAGCTTAAAAAGACATAAATTCTTGGGAGAATAACACATTTCCTTATCTCTCCACTATTGCTAGAATCTAAATTTTGTGTTAACGCCTGCAGATCTGTTAAAGATGTCAAGCAGTTCTTCAAGCCTTTAACGCTTCAGTTCGAGAGCAGATTTTGGATTGTGTCCACAAAACTTGAGATTCCTCCAGAGAATTATTTAGTCATCAATGTAAGTCTATTTATTTCCTATAAAAAAAAGAAAATAGTATACATATTTCTCCTGCTGTTATATGCATGTTTATAAATATTGTGGAGTAACGACTCCATGTTCTGCAGAAAGAAGGAAATGTATGCTTGGGAATTCTTGATGGAAGCCAGGTACATGATGGGTCCACAACCATTCTTGGAGGTAAAAACAGTTTAGAAAGTTCAAGAATTTGTATGACTTTATCTATGCTACCTCATGAACCCATTGAGTTCTCAACATTGCAAGAGTCTGTTTGACATAACTGAGAAAATCAACTCAAGCACCATTTTAACCTTTCCTGAATTCAAATTTATACTTCATGGCTTTATCTTTCAGACAACGCATTGCGTGGGAAGTTGGTCGTTTACGACAACGTGAATAACAGGATTGGATGGACTTCATCCGACTGTCACAATCCGAGAAGAATGAAACGCCTCCCACTCTTTTGATACACTGTCAGTCTACAGATAAACTACGTAGTCGTTGTTACATGGCATGCCTAGATTCCTCTGTCTATGAATACGAATTGCTCATTTGTGAATAAAATAGTAAGTTTTCCAAATAACGTCTATAAGCACTGGACTGCTTAATTCTTACATGATCAACTATATGTTATTCGACTTGTAAACAACTAAATGCATATGGTTTTATGAAGTAATTTGCATGTGTGACACATAAAAATGGCAAAATAATATGAAAGATGAAGAACAGTTTATGTTATAGACGAAGCTAATTCTTCCTTTTCTTCTTTGTTACCTTCATGCTTACAACAAATTTCAGCTTGGTCATAGTTGGATTGGCATTTCCAGGCATTGATGATGAAGGGTCCTTGGATATCATTGTTTTCAGTGAAGGTATCACACTCTTGAATCTCCAATATCTCTACTCTGCGGTTGGTCTTCTTCCTTATTTTGATTGCTATATCTTGAGGGCTAAACTTTCCACAAACGCTTACCCTGCACTGCTTTTGTTCTATCAAATGGTCCTCCAACTCTATCAAGAAGACAAGGATTTACATGTCATAAAATACCGAATAGAATCCATTGAAGAGAGACAGAGAAAAAATAGTCAGCCATATTAATTTCTCTAGAGAAAAAGAGATAAAAAGAGAGAGATTTCACCTTTTATACTGAGAAGAGCTCTTCTTACTTTCCTGTAACATCCATTACAGTCCATGTGAATCCTCAAAACCATCCAGAAAAACTGCCATAGTTGTCAAGGGAAAACAGTTCAATATTGCCAATGAAGAAGAAGAATGGAAAAAGTTGGTAAGATTGAACTTGCCTTTCCAGTCATTAAATCACTGACAAAAAAAAAAACAGAACCTTTCTCCTGGAATCTAAACCCCTATGATGCTTAAACACAGAGACAGAGAGAAAAACTGATGGGTTTCTCCCAAAACTTGAAAGGGATGGACTTCAAAATCTGGGTTTAACGATGGTATTGATTGGCGAGAGAATATCAAAACATTGAATACTAACAACAACATTATTGCTATTAATATTTGGAACCTGATTCCGCATTGTGGTGCGTTGGTTGTTCATTATTCTTGGCTTTTTTAGCTTTGCTTCTCCCTTCATATTTTCTATGGAGAAAAAGAAGGTATCCTTTCTTTAGCCAGAAAGCCATTATTCTTTTCCACACCATAAGTCTATGCTTCTCCTTCAAAAATACATTAAAGGTTCAGCAGAGCAAGCCATGGCAGCAACCATTTAGAAAACATCTGTCTTTTGCTTTATATGAAGGAATATTCCAAATCTTTAGAGTTGTGTAATCAAGTTTCCTTTGCTAAGTGTTCTAACTTATCCCATGTTAAGACAGCATAATCTTATAAACCTTTGTCCATCCGACCATAGCCAATGTCTCAAGGCGCCAATTATCTGTCTAAAGATCAATAGTTTGATCCTTCATCAAGCGATAACTGAACTACACAAATTCAAACCTTGACAAAGTAGAAAGCTCAAACAAAGGTCAAAGTCTTGTGTTTTCCTTAGCATCAAACCTTGTTGTTAAGATTCTGAATGTATTTTATTCTTCCTTGCACTAAACTTGAAGATGATGCGACTTTAAGAATCATTTTCAATGTGCGAAGATTAGACACAAATTTGAGAGAGGAAGAAATTATGTAAAGAATTATAAATTTCATTATAATTTCATTATTATTTTGGGTTGAAATGACTGGAAATAGAAGTGGGATTCACATCATTTCTTCCAAGGGTAGGCTAACTGATAGGAATTGATAGAACCACGCAATAAGAAAATCCCACCATCTTGAGCAGACCAAACACAGTTATGATCTTTACATTCATCGCTAAGCCGGCTTCCTTCTTCCGGCCAGAAAACATCACCAGTAACCTGTCCATATTTGCTGCTAAAATGGCACCAAAACTGTGTGGTTTGCCAAATATTTTCTTTGAACTTCAAGAAGTAGTTATCCCCTTTCTTGATGTCATGCCTGCCCAAATCGTTGTCCTTTGATTTGCAGTGAACCATCAAAGTTGACTCCATATGATTATAAATGGTCACTTGCCATCGAGAAAATGGAAGCTGTACCTTGGATTCTGCAGGTTCTGCAAAACATGGCTTCATGAGCATGTTTGATCCCAAACCCAACAATAAAATGAAACATAATGTGTTTACAGACTCCATTTTCTATGGAGTTTGGTCACTTTTTTTTCCCTTTTTGACAAAACCCTTCTTTGTTTTGTTTTATATATACCCAAATTGAGTTGCTATAATGGCATGTTTCACCTTAATTTTCTCACCTATTTAGAGCTCTCCTTAGCTGTTATCTCCTTTAGTAACGGATTTTGTATTTTATTAGGTCCTTTCAATTCTACGTTCAACAATTTATGATTATTAATTACCCACGTAAACTTTAAATGTCCACCATTCATTATTTATGTACAACAAATTTAGGTAAAATATGAAGAATTTATTTGAGATTTTTTTTTTTTTTTTTTTTTACATGGTTAATTTTTAGAAGTAACCTATGCTTTTTATTTCATTAAAGACGAAAGAGAGGAATCTTTGACCTTAAAATAAATAAAGAATTTCAAAATTGTAAACCGCTCCTTCAATGAATTTTTAAACGTATTTAACGGCATATACTCTCTTTATTGATTGAAATTTCAAAATTATAAACGACTATGAATGAAATAATAAGAACCCACGTTACTAAATGGAATGTCACCCTAACTTTGTTACCTTGTTTATTTAAATGTATATATAATGTCTAGCGGGACTGTTACTAATGCATTATTAATTTGAATTTAAGATATGATATGACATTTAGATGAAATTTTGTTGTGCCTCTTTCTAGTTGTAGAAAGTTTGAATGACAAGTTTTCCAAACCAAGAATTTCATGAAGGATAACCTTGTACTATGCTTACGAATGATGTGGTCCCCCAACCAAAAATAACTCTCGTAAGCCTGGCGTAGATTTGTTCATGTCTGTTGGCGCCATGTTGGAGTCATTGGCATGTGTGACTTTTAACCGCCATCATAGCGTTACTAGAGAGTTTCTATCAACTCATCCATGATAGTGCTTGGAGGCAAGGATTATCCTATTCGAACTAATTAGTTTGAAGACATTATTGAAATTTTAAAGTTTTGAAAATCAAATTTTGTATAGAATTGAACCTTTGACCTTAGAAAAGATAAGGAGCGTTTTTATTTATAAAATTATTTATTACATTAACTCGAAGGCATTATTCCAATTATACATTAACCGAAAGGCTTTGAGAGATTCAAAATACATGTAAATACCTTGGTCTCGACATGTCCAAATGCAGTTATGATGAGCACATTGTTCATTAAACCAGTCCCATTTGGCTGTCCAAAAAACATCACCACTAACTTGTCCATATTTACTGCTGAAACGGCACCAAAACAAAGTAGTAATCCAAAAATTTTCTTTAAAGCTCCAGTTGTAATTATCTCCGATGCAGAGTACATGCTCGCCTAGATCGTCATCTTTTGACTTGCAATGAACATTTAGAGTTGAACCAGTCATCTCATTTAAAATATTCACTTTCCATTTCACAAACGGTAATTGTAGCTTAGATTCTGCTAAACAAAACCTCATCATATTGTTCGATATCAAAACAACCAACACGATTAAACAGAACATGCTTAGAGACTTCATTTTTTTTTTCTCTCTCGAAGATCACTCGAATCTTTTTTGCAAATGTATTTGAATTCTACCTCTTATATATATAAATACATATACCTAACTGAGGCCGTAGTTAAATTTTAACTGCAATTAGTTAAAAATGTGCTGTAAATAAAATTTTAACTAATAAAAGTGTGCCATTTTAGGTGACTTCGAGAACGTGAAAAAATAAGAAAATAATGATAAAATATGGTTAAATATTTTAAAATAAAGTTTTGCTGGCCTCAATATTGACGTCACTACTATAATCATATTTTATTTAAATACATATGTATAATATTATTAAATTCATTATATAGATTTATAGGTAAAAACTTTTAAAATCTGTTTCGACTAATTAAACGACAAATGTGAGATTGAGATTTTAGGAGTATTAAAATTTACATAAAATTAATTTTGTTTAAGATATTTTGATTTAGTTAAATATTAAAATTCTGTTGATTTCCCAAACTACCCTTACCAATCGATAAAGATAAAAAAACAAGAGAGGATAATAGTATCGACAGGTTCACAGGATAAATATTTCACAGCGGTAAAAATAAAAAACGCTATATTAAAAAAAACAAAAAAAAAATACTAATTGATTTTTGAAATTTGGCATTTCTATTGTAAAATTAGTGTTTTAGTTCTTTCAAATTTACAGCCTACAAACTTGAAACGACGTCGTCCGACCAACACTAAAAGACACCCAAAACCACGACCCCCACTCGAAACCGTCTCTACAAAGCCGACAATGACTCCGGTCGAAACGGCACGTCCGAATAATCAAACAAACCGCCCAATGCAACGAACTCCCCGCCCAACCCATTCTCCTCCGCCGCGCCGGAGGAGAACCCCATTCCAATCTCGAACAAGTCGTAACACGGAATCTCATCTTCAAACCCAGCGTTCCCATCCAACTCAAACACGCCAGGAGGAGAAGAAGAAGCAGGCATAAAATCAATCGCCTCCGTCCTCTTCCCATCAGTACTCAAACCTCCAGTCGGCGGCAGACCAAGCTCATCATCGGACGCGCCGTAAAGATAACCAAGCTCGACCTGAGGAGTCTCATTCTGATGAGACGGCGTTTTGACCGAAGGTAGTGCTTGAATCTCCTCCTCGAAGCTTCTAATGAAGGAGTCAAGTTCAAGGCCTTCAATACTCTCATCACGCTCTAGTACGACGTCGGAATCTTCAAGGATGTTGAGTAAGTCATCTTGAATGTCGTGAGATTCCGAGAGATTAATGGTGAAATCAGCGACGGATTCTAAATCTTGAACAACATTCCAGTTCCCCTCAGTGCATGGATTGAGAGAACTGAAATCCGATGAGTCGAGTCGTCTGAGCTTGGACTCAGCCGAATCGGCTAGTGAGTCATCGAACTCGCTGAGAAGTCGCTTTTTGTTGTCGGTGCAATTTTCCATGGAAGAAGAAAGAAAGAGAGAGAGAGAAGGGAGTGGTGTGTGAAGGGGAGGAGAAGGGAGGGAGGTTTAAAAAGAGGGGAAATGGGGGCATCGGAATTTGAAAGGTAGGGTTTGATGGGGAAGAAAGAGACAAGGACACGTGGCGGATAAAGAGAGGGTTTAGAGACCTCATTCTCAGTCCTCTTGTTCCACTTTTCCTTCCCTTTTTTTTTCTTTTTCCAATTTTATCCACTGGCTTTGTTTTTAATGATTCTCCTCCTCTTTTTCTATTTTCTTCTTTTTATTTATTTATTCATATTTGGTTTCGCTTTCTCATTTAACTAAATTTGAATCAAAGTTTTCAAGTCCGTTCCCGGGCCCACAGACTTGGCATTGAATTTCGCCTTTTTTTCTTTGTTTTTTACCCTTTTCAGTTCATTTACGTTTTTCCTTTTTCTCTTTTCTTTTAAACAAAATAATTCCATCGTTGGGCTCGGCGTTGAACCGGACTACGCACCGCCCCTTCCATTCTTTATTTTGGCTTCAATCTCCTCAATTTTTTATTTCAAATTTAAATAATTATTTAATGACGTGTGAAATATGGTTTACGTACAAGTGTCATGTTAAAACCAAAATAGGAGCTGTAAACAGAATAATAAATAAAAGAAACCATGAAAAGGACGGAAATAAATAAATAAATAAATAAGGTGCTTTCGCGTCAGGCATGCACCATGTTTTACAATTACAAAATAATCTGAAAAGTATTCGAGAAGATTTGAAGTAAGTAATTAACTATACTCGGATTTTTTCTAAATTATTGTTTAAAAAATACTCTTAACAAACGGATGCCGTTGACGGGAACAAAAAAATAATAATGGTAACGATCGTTATCTCCCGTTGGATTGCCGTGCCACACTTCCCCAGCCGTGAACGCCAATGTTGTGTACAAGTAAATGGTAGGTGGGCCCTAGAATTTATTATAATCCAACGGCTCCTATTTATTCTCATTGTCATCACCATTTACACACTACCGCACTAAGTCAACTGGATTTGTATATTTTCTTTGATATTATTAGGTAATAAATAAAGGTAGATAGTAGGAAAGGTTGTATCAAAGGTACACATCATGCATACAATTTAGTCATTTTTAAATTTATTTTATTAATTAAAATACAATTAACAAATAATGAATTTATTTTCGGTTTTTTGGAAAAAGAATTAGGCTGTACTAACATGTCTTTTAATACATAAAATTAAAAGTACACGTAATTTTAAAAAATGACAAAAAAAAGTTATGGAAATAGAAAAGAGAGCAATGATTACTGTGGGGGCGGAATGGCGGAGCAAGGGGAGAAGTACTGTGGCGAAAAGCAGTTTAGCGGATCCCAAAGCGGTCTGAGATGGAGGTGGAGGAGGAATAAGTAGGCGCTGCTACATGCACGGTGCCACATCATACGCTTAGCGCCACGTGGTTCTACTCCGGCCTCACTGTCCTCCACACGGCACCGTCGCCAATTTCCAACAAACCGCCTTACCAAACTACCAGGCCGGATCTTCCGGCGGGGGATTAATCTGTGGGCCCTAATTTCTTCATCTATTAAATTCTACAAAAAGAGGAAAAAGAGAGGAAAACTGACAGGTTGGGTGTGAGGGATCACGTGGTAGCGGTGAGGTGAAGGCACCGTCGCGTGACGCGTGTCCATCATGTTCTGTGTTGGGCTTTATGACACGACCCACAACCCAAGCCCTCTCAGATATTTTTATTTTATCCTACACGTCCGGTACATTTTCGAATCCTGGATTTTGTCGCTTTCCTCTCTCTTTTTTTTTTTTTTTTTCATTTACAACAACAACAACATACCTAAATAACTCTAAATTTTGTATTTTACTCCAAAACTTTCAAAAACATCTTTTTAAAAATTTCATAAATACGTTAACATTTTTACAAAGTTCAACAAGACCGACAATGATATATTTAAAAATTATCAATTAATATGTTTTTTTATCAGTCAATATTAGACGAAAATCATTTTCGGACACTTTATATAAACTCTTTAATCTTAGTTAGGAAAGTTTAAGTATTTTTTTTTAACTTGAAACTCACTCTAAGATTTTTTTTTCTTTAATTTTAAGATTAATTTTTAAACTTTTTTTCAAAATTTAAGAATATTTTAAAACAAAATGTTAACTTTTCTCTCTAAAAT